TTTTTTCTATTTTCTATTTCAGCTTTCTGAAGAAGAAAAAATTCAGCGCTACAGTATTCTTTCCGAGCTTTACGAGCGAATTGGATTTCATCGGAAGTCTGCTTTTTTCAAACGAGTAGCAGCAATGCAGTGTGTGGCACCAAGCATAGTAGAACCTGGTTGGAGAGCCTGTTATAAGCTGCTTCTGGAAACACTTCCTGGTTATAGTCTGTCTTTGGATCCCAAAGATTTCAGCAAAGGTACCAGGTTTGGGATAGGGAGAAATAAGCAAACAAACCCAGCATTTACTCTTTTGCATTTTAGGTACGAAAGCAAAATGAGTGAGAATAAAAAATCAGTAGGCTAAAGTTGCTCAAGTTGTTTTCCATCATTGTTGCCCAAGTTATAAAGTGGCCCAAGTTATTTTCCCTCAAGCAGGACTCTTCCTTGAAGGAAAGCCTTCTGTGGATGGAAGGAGTTCTTTGTTTTACAGAAAGTGTTTTTAGAATTTAATTGTCATGACTTAATGTTTATGAGATAAAATTATTTCTGTTTAGCTTGAATGGTAAATAAAATGAGTTTTATGTAACAGTGATAAGAAAGGATTTGAGAGAACATGAATCTTGGATTGGAGGTGTATTAATAAAAATCTGAACGTTCATTATGATTTGTGCTTTATGTTACAGAGTAAGTCATTTGATGAAATGGAAAATATGAATCTGTTTTTTCCATAAGGCAAAAATATTTTTATTATGTTGAAGAAGGAATAATATATGCTAGCATAATTGAAACACGAAGATTTGTTTAAGGAAGTTCAAAGTTTTATGTGGACTTTAACATAGATGAATTCAAATTTCTTATCTAGAAGAGCATGGGATTATGGCATTGGAGATCTTTGTAACCCTTTCTGATAGGTATTGGGCATCTCTGATGACTTGCCACTAGGAATGTTATGAAACTTTATATCACAAGATAATTGTATTTGGTACTGATTCTAGCAGATGAAAGATAAATGCAACAATTCCATTGTGTCTCCAAGGATAGCCCTGCATTTGTAGGATTTGCTAACCTTGTCCATGTCAGATGGATATATGGAGGTGATTGCTCAGTGAATATTGAGTGAATACTGTTGTTTTAGAAGTGCCTTAACACAATACCTGTTATGGACTCTTTTTAAAGGAACTCATCGTGGTTGGGCTGCTGTGCAGATGCGTTTACTTCACGAGTTAGTGTATGCCTCCAGGAGAATGGGAAACCCAGCACTTTCAGTCCGACACTTATCTTTTCTTTTACAAACCATGCTGGATTTTCTTTCTGATCAAGGTATTCATTTTACTAAAAAAGCAAATTTCCTGTAATATTATGTATGATAATGGCCAATCAGCCATGTTAGATATATCCAAAAGCTGCAGAACGTTTAGTGTGATTCTGGTTGTCTGTTGCTGGGTGGAAGACAAGTCCTGCTCTTAGCTTTCCTGACCAAATTGCAAATGTCCTTTGAATATTTCTTATTTTCAAAATGGAACATATTTTGCCACTTTTAAAATGGTTTGCAGGGTATTGCATTGTCAGTATTGCACAGGCATGTCAAATATGGCTACAAATAAAATTGGATCCAAACTTCTACCAAAATTATTTTATAATTGCCAAAATGTTTTGCATTTTCTTTACAAATAGTGTCACTGAAGGGTAGGGTGAAATAAATCACTGGTTCTTATTTTCTAAAATAAGCTTGTTATTTATAAGGGTTTAATAAATTGTCATAGAGTTTGTGCCACCGAGTAACGAATGTTAGTGGCTGTGCCACAGATAGAAACAGGTTGGAAAGTCATCCTGGTTTTGGGAGGCTGGAGGACTGCAGTTAGGGTTAAGAGTGGGGCAGAGGTGGCTGTTCTCTTTGGCCTGTATATAGGAAGTCTCAGTGAGTGGTGGCCTGGATATGCCTGGTTATATGTTAAATATTTTCAGGCGCCTGAGACTGGGACAGTGGTAGAGGCAGGCAGGTTGGTGGTCCTGTGAAGATACCAACCTGTGTCTAGCAGTTGTTGTCTGCCCAGCTATATGGAACAGTGGCAGTGTTGACTTTTTTCTCATCTTCCTTTCTTCCCTGCACTTTTATTATGGGACTGTCAGCGACTGGAACTGGCTGCTGTTGTGCTTTGTGGCTTGGAACAGGTGTAATGTTACAAAATCTTGTCTTGAAGACAGAAGATAGAGACTGGTTTTGTGGTATAGAAGTTTTTGTCAGAAACCCTGAAAATGATAGGCCATGGGTACAATCTCTCCCTGCTCGTCAACACCAACTGGGACTGAGGAATGAGTCGAATCCTGTAGCACAGTGCCTCCCACTTCCAGCCCCCATAGCTGGATCCAAAAGAATGCAATGGTCAATGGTATTGAAAGCTGCTGAGAGACCAAGGAGCACAAGGATGAATGCACCATCCCTGCTCTGCCACAGGTCAACAACAAGTGGGACCAGCACTGTCTCCTATTATACCCTGGTCTGGAATCTGACTGAAACAGGTGTAGATAATCCATTTCCTCCAAGATCCTCTGTGGCTCCTTTCCGACCACCTTTTCCCCCAACTTTCCCCACAAAGGGAAGATTGGAGATTGGATAATAATTGTCCATAATCAAAGGATCCAGTAATGACCTCTTCAGGAGGGGGCATACCACCACCTCCTTCAAGGCTGGCTGGACCACCCCCTGTCTCAGATACTACTGCATGAATGCATCTCTTGGACCCCTCCCAGGGGAGGGCAGGATCTATCCGACTGGTAGCTGAACTGACAGATTGGAGGACCTTGTCCGCTTCCTTGGGTGTAAGACCCAATTTTAGTCCAGATAACCTTGAACGACTGTACCCAGACAACTCATTTGGACTTGCCCAGTCAGAGTCCAGCTCCAAGCGATTTTTTTCCACCAAATAGCATGAATATTCCTTACCGCAGCCTTGCAGATGATACTGTGGCCTGCCCCTCCCACCCCCGAAGCAGAGAACAGGTCATTCTAAACAGGACCACTGAGCAGCTCTCAGCAGATGCAATAAGAGTGGAGAAATAACAAAGTTTTGCCACCTTCATTGCCACGCTGTAGACCTGAATATGGGCTCTCGCTTGTGTTCAGTCGGATTCTTTGTTTTCCTCCCATGTTGCTTGTGCTACCTAATCTCCCGGAGCTCCTCAGAGAACCAAGGTGTATCCCAGGATCAGCACACAGAGAGAGATCACATAGGAGCAACCTGGTACATCCAGACTTTTGTTTCACGAAAAAAAAAAAATCATTGCGTGCCTTCCTATTGACAAAATGAAAATTTCACTTGACATAGCAGATTGTTTTATATTGTCCATCTTATACTGTCAAAACTCCTGAAGCATTATTGTTGGTATACACCTTTTTAATAAGAAAAGAGATGTTGGTGAAGAATGAGATAATAAAGAACAAAAGCATCTAATGTATAACAGCTTTCCAGAAAATCACAATAAAGAGATGTATTAGGATATTGCTTTGCATGGCTGGTGCATGAAATTAAACTCTGAAACCGGAAGAGTTCAAACCATGGTGTCCTGTAAACTTAAATAAAGGTCCTGATGACAATGGAATAAAGCTATTAAGTTTAATTGGGGAATGTTGGGGAATGTTGGGTCTGCTGTATTAATGTAATACATATTTCTTTAGTTTGAATAAAATAAGTCAGGGTTTGTCTTATTGGATGTTTGATAAGAACAGGTGCATTTTTCATTTCACTGTACTTGATTTTAGGAGCAGAGTTGATGATAAGGCAGGTTGGAACCCTGAATCTAGGAATCAAGCAACTGCTGCTTGAAATTTTCATTAATGAGGTCCTAAATTGAGGCTTGGTCAGGAAAAGTCAGATTCCTTTATGCTCTGCCTATATCATATTTGTGTTTCATGAAAGCATCTTTAGTTTTCTGCTGTTTTTCTCACTTCCAAGTTCCAAGGTTTCCACTTCAAGCCTCTTGTTCTGTCCTGAGTTTTCAAACCATGGCATCTATTATGAGTTCATTGGCATCACTCTTTTATTCTTTCTATCTTGTTACCTTTTGCCTTTTCACACATAGGACACCCAAGGCAGCTAACAGATAAATTAAAATCAATAAAACAAAATATAAGCCAGTTGCAGCCTAGTGAAAACCAAAGTTGAAATGATCATTTCCAACTGAGCCTAACTGAATAATCTTTTACTTATTTTATGAATTCCACAGCTTGGGAATATGCAGCAGATTTTTATTTATTTATTTTTTTTCTCAATAGACTTCTTGAGGGTATGGCGAGGAAATGGCAGTCCGGTATTTTTGAGATCCGTGCCTTTCAGTCTTTTTCCTTTATCTCTTCTTCAGCCAGTGTGGAACTTTCTTTCACAGTTTTTAAAATCCGTGATATATTAACCTGCTTACATAGTACACATCTTCTGTTTCTACATCATTTGTGAGATGGAAGTAATTTCTTATCATTTTGATACAACAGTAATGAGAATTCTGTTTTCTTTTAGAAAAGAAAGATGTAACACAAAGTCTAGAAAACTATACATCAAAATGCCCAGGAACAATGGAATTCATTACACTTCCAGATGGCTTAAAGCTCCCCCCTGTTCCATTCACCAAACTTCCTATTGTAAGGTAACTACCTTTTGTTTTCATTCTTTACATTGTGTGATATTATATAGTAATGAATCATTTGTCATACAGGCCTCCTTAGAGAAGGTGCTAGAGAACAATGTTAGACTAAGTGCAGTGAACTGTTTCAGGATGAAATCACTTGTGTAAAAGCAGGTGCCATTCAGAGGAGATTGAAACTTCTGCAAGCAGTAATTGAAACCACCTCTTGTATTCTGTGATATTATGGTGTGCCTGTTTGTAGATGTTGCTACCTTGTCATCACCGCCTTCCTAACTTGAACAAGTATTTTCTTGAGCTATGATGTACACTTTGGAAAATGCACAGCTCCTTTAAAGAACAACCAACAGGTACAGGGAGGATGCCCGTGCCGGATTTGAAGCACCCTAGTGAAATTTATTTATTTATTTAAATTTATTAGCTGCCTAACTCCAGTGGATCCTATCCTATCCTATCCTATCCTATCCTATCCTATCCTATCCTATCCTATCCTATCCTATGCTTTCTAGTATAATTGATCAATTCTTACACAGCTGTTTCGTGATGCAATTGAACTTTGTAATTCCTGTATCAAGGAACTGAGTTTGAAGGAGCTGAAATACTTCCCCATTTTAAAACTCACCGGTTTTGGGATATTGTTCCTTTTGATCTCAGATTTGTGTCCATTTATTCTTTTGCATAGAGATTTGCTAGTCTGCCCAGTGTATAGAGTGCTAGGAGATGGCAGACATGAAGATATGCAGCACATTAGAAGATAAGAAACTGATTCTTCCACAGAGGTTTTAATGTTATGAGTGAAGTCTTAAACATTAAGTCATAAGATCCTGTAACAGGACTTCCAGCAAAGATATGGGAGTAGACTTGAGTCTGCATGCTACATGTCCATATGACTGTGATGTGATCCACTGTTATTTAGTAGTTAATATTTAATAGTTTAGTATTTAGCAGTTATTTCTGGTTACACGATTGTCTTTAAGCAAGGCACCCAAGGACTATAAAAAGGAAGCATGACTGTGGATAGCTCACTGGTGGTGCGTTTGAGTGTTTGTATCTAGGAGCTGTTAGGTAACAAGGAATGTTCTACTGTTTTCTGAATTTTTCTTGCATGGTAGATTATTCTTTGGAAATGCTGTGCTCCCCTTCTGTATTGGTTTAACTTTATTGAGTACATATTGTAGTTTGAAAAATTGTTGCTTAAAATCTCTTAGCTGAGTTTCTCTGTGATGGGTATCAATAAATGAGGTGTTACAATTGTTGGCTATAAACTGTGTTTTTTGTGGTATGTTTTGGATGAAAGCTGTAAACATTTGCTACAAGTTTATGTACCAGTTAGGTTTTTTTTTTTAATAGAATACCATTGCTTGCACTATTCTGTAGCTATAGACACATCATAGCATCTGAATATCTTTTCCAAGGTTTTCATGGTTACTCTACTGACTTCTAGTCCATGGCATATTTCGTGACTGCTTGTTTCTTTACTGTTGATAATAGAACCTAAAAGGCAGAAACTATCTACTGCTTCAGTACCTTCATTGTTAATTCTGAGGTTGATTGTTTGACCTGTTGTCATTAGTCTGGTCTTTAATTTTAGCCCCATTTTTTCACTGTGCTTCTTGACTTTTATTACTAGAGCTTTGAGATCCTTTGCATTTTTGGCTATCAGGATAGTGACATCAGCATAGCTCAGACTATTGATATTTCTTCCTCCAATTTTAAAACTGCGCTCATTTTCCAATCCAGCTTCCCTTAATATATATGCAGCATATAGGTTGAATTAATAAGGGGAAGGTATACAGCGTTGTCACACTCCTTTGCCAACTTGGAGCCAGTCTGATTTGCCATGTTCATCTGACTTGGTAATGACTGGAATGCTGATCTAATTTCTAGTACTAGAGGTTCTTATAAGTAGAAATATCATCTAAGGTATCTTGGATGTTGACATCTCTACTATACAGTATTTCTGTATATTCCTTCCATCAATCATTCAATATTTGATTACAGTCACAGACCAGAATTTTTATTCCTTCCATCTTTGTTTGACATTCTTTGTATCAGTTACTATTTGTCCATTGGTATCGTTTAACATTCCTATTTGAGTTCTGAGTCCTTCTGAATTCAGAGATCTTTTGGAAGCCTTTCGTTGTTTTTCTATGTCTGTTTCTATCTTCAGTGACTTTATAGATGTAATACTACTTGTCTCTTCTCTCTGAAACTCTCTGAAAAGTTCCTTCTTGAGTCTTTTTTTTTCTTGGCGTTGGCTTCTCTTCTCTTGGCAATTTCCTGGATTTGTTCTGACATCCAGTTTGCTTTCTTCTGTTTCTTCATCTTCAGCAGTCTCTTCTCACGTTCATCCGAATGACTTCTTTAAGTTCATTCCACAGTTCCTCTGATTCTCTATCAGTGAGATTCAGGACTTCAAAGTGATTCTTGATGTTCTCCTTGAAAATGGTCAGATCATATTGTGGAAACTGGTTGGTTTTCTTCTTCTTTAGCTTAACTTGGAACTTGCATATGATCAGTTTGTGATCTGTTAGACAATCAGCATCTGGCCATGTCTTTGATGCTATAACTGAGATCCACTACCTCCTTTACCAATAATATAATCAATTTGATTTCTCTGTTTTCGATCTGGTGGTGCCCATGTACACAGGCATGTTTTGGTGCTTTGAAGATGGAAGAAATCATTGGAGTGGCAGAAATCGTCATACTCCTGCTTCATTTTGGTATCCTAAACCATATAATTCAACTACATTTTCTTCCTTAATATTTCCGACTTTGCCATTCCGGTCTCCAATCACAAGCAGCACATCTTGCTTGCAAGTTCTGTCAATTTGAAATTGATCAGAAAATTCATCAACCTGCTCTTTTTCTGCATCAGTGGTTGGAGCATAACCTTGGATGATTGTCATATTAAAGGGTTGTCCACAAAGTCCAATTGATATTATTTGGTCATTGATTGCATTGTAGCCAAGTACTGTTCTTGCTATATCCTTCCTGGCGGTAAAAGCAACATTGTTCCTTCTTTGTTTTTCATGTCCTGAGTAGTAAACAGTGTAATCTTCTGTCTGAAAGTGTCCAATCCAGATCCATCTCAATTTGCTGATGCCTAAAATGTCAGTCTGCAGTCATTTTACTTCAATTTTCACTGTATTAAGCTTTCCCATGTTGGCATCTTACATGGGATGTAAGATGTTAGGCATCTTACATCCCATGTTCCCACTATAATTCTATTTTTGCAGCTTTGGATTTTCTTTTCCTGTATAGCAACTTCCAAAAACTCTAATCTAGCCACATTATAAGTACCATTAGTACTCTGAAAGATCCTCAGCTTTTCCTCAGTAGCATGTTGAATTCCATGCTTCCAAGCAGGAGGATTTAGTCTTTAAGGTGCCACAAAATATTTTTTTATCTAAATATGCATTTGCTTAGGATCAGTTTATAACTCATATACATTACTTTGTCTAATGATGATGATGATGATGATAATACTGAATGTACGTTGAATCAATATTTAGTTTATTTATATTTAGAGTAGACCTTGACATTTTGTATTTTAATGAGTCTCAGTGATTTTAGTGAGTCTGCTTTACATATGATTAGATCCAACCTATTTTATGTATAAGTAACTTTGTGTTAATAGAATGATCCTTCTTACTGTTCTAATGGTTTCCATTTCACTAATGCAATGTTTCTATTAATAATTTACTAGGATGTTCTAATATTGTTATGTACTTTATCTTCTCATTTTATCTATCATTTTAAATGAAAACCTTTATTACTGTTCTCAGGGAATTTGTAAGAAGTGGGCAAAGAGATCAGGATAATTGGAAAGAAAAACTATAATTGGTATCTATCATGTTGATAATCCATGCTATTGTATGTGTCATTTTAATTGTCTCTCCTAAATCAGAATTAAGTAGCATTTGTGCACAGCAGCTCTACATAAAAACAATCCATTGTTCATTGAACAGATCTGTCAAGCTCTTAAACCTCCCTGTTAGCCTTCGGCCACAGAAAATGAAAAGCTTGTTGGGTCAGAACATGTCAACGAAGAGTCCCTTTATATATTCTCCAATAATCGCTCACAATCATGGAGAGGAGCAAAGTAAAAAAATAGGTGAGAAGCTGATTCCTGATACTCATTATTTTTAACATGCATTCTCCTTTTATATGCAGTATCTCACTGGGACTTGCTTTCTGGCTTTTGTGCTGCAAATTGAATCAAATAGCAATTGCCAATTTTTGGATCAATATGCTATTTCCTCTTCTTGATTATAAAACTGACAACGTGGCACAGACGTATCCATCTTTCTTTGTAGGGTATGTCGTTAGCCTATTGCCACAAGAAAATTGATTTAGGCAGTGGTAGTATTACAGATTGACTACAAGGATTCCTAATAAAAATGCTTTCCTTTTATGCTTTTGGAAGTGTATTTAGATCTTTTGAACATGTTCGCCCTAGTTTACTGAAATAGACAAATGTTATTTCTAGCCTACGTATATCATTTCTTTTGAAGCAAGGCAAATTGGTGCTCGGTAGTTATTGATGTCTTGCCAGACCGTCTGAATACAAGTGATGTTCAAACCTCAGCTCCAAATTCTGCCATTTCCTTCCAAGCTGTCCTGTCTTGCTTTGCATAAAAATGCTTTAAACACTTTGTAATTGAAGTATCTGGTGATTAGGAAATAGGCTTCCTTTTCTATCTCACTGTCCCAAATAGTTCTAAAATGTGCAGAAGAAAATGTATCTAATTATACTTCAGTTGAGTTCATAGAGAGATCTACTGGGTTGTTGGTGATCTCTGAGCTTCCTTTTCTTCTTGCAGACCTTTTACCAGGCTATGTAAAATCATTAGCGCGTGAAACAGTAAAATTTGCTGTCTGTTCTGTTTATTTTTATGTATATGAATGAGTTAGCTTTTCCTACAAATCTTGGTTGTTTCTTCTTTGATGAGGTATTGTTCCAATCCCAATTCTAGCTATGAATTGTCTGCAAGAAGAAAACTCAGAGAATATAAAAACCCAACAGTGCAATCATGAGATACACAGATTCTCTTCCACTATAGAGAGATCTCTGACAGTATTAGTTTCCAGATTGATGAGTCTGTATTAGTAGTGCTTTGTACTCTATATACATTTTTAATACACAGCTTTTTAGTTATTTTTTTCATCAATTCTTATAATAAACCTCTGAGGTATGTAATAATCCCATATTGCAGGTCATAAATTATGTTTTTAGCTGAGCTTCTCCAAACAGTTTCCTTGTACAGTATATTTATACATAGTAGCACGCCTGAGGCCACCTATTGAGATAATGGCTGAAAGATGAGATTTGAATTAATAACGTACAGATCAATCTAAATTATTCCACAATGTCTCTGTTAGAGGGATTAGTCTGCATTTATTTCTCATTTAAAACTTACCCCTTTTTAAACATGAAAATCTGTCTACTGCATGTGTTTTGAAAACGTAAGCTTTCCTTATGCACTTTTTTTAAAAAATGCAAATACCCCTCAAATATGTTTTTTGTACACAGATTTATCAAATCTGCATTATTTTTCAGAAACATGTTTCATAAATAAATGTTTTGCTGACCTTTGAATGATGAAGCTAGCAAATATATAATCTATTTTGGTATATAGTACCAGTTCATTCCTGTAGATCCCATAGATTACTTACATATTTTGAACCAGAATCTAATATTTTTTAGACCACATCAGTTTTCTTCATTTTGAGGCCAGATAGCTAGCTGAACTTTTAGAGTTGAGTATTACTGAGTATCCCTGAACAGGTGACCGCTGTGGCCAGGAAGGCTGCTCTGCTTCATCTGGTGGACCAGTTGCACCCTTTCCTGCATCGGGGGGTCCTTCAGACAGTCATTCATGCCTGATCACTTCCTGGCTTGACTACTGCAACACACTCTACGTGGGGCTGCCCTTGAAGACCACCAAGAATGCTGCAGCATGGGCAATGATGGGCATGCCTCTGTATGCTCATGTAACACCTCTGTTTTGTGAGCTGCACTGGTTGCCAGTTTGTTTCCAGATGTGATACAAGGTGCTGTCACTACCTATAAAGCCCTACATGACATAGGGCCTGGTTACTTGAGGGACCATCTGTTTTCCATAGTATCTGCCTGGCCAGTCTGATCTGGCAGGATTTGTGCAGTCCGGGTTCCTTCAATTAAACAATGTCATCTATCAGGAATCCAGAAGTGTGACTTTTCTGTAGTAGCACCTGCCCTCTGGAATGTGGTTCTCCCGGATATTCAAACAGCCCCCACCCTAGTGGCATTTTGAAGGGCCCTGAAGACATGGCTCTTCACCCAGGCCTTGGGCAAGGATGATTGGTGCCCCTTTTCTTTTTCTTTGTTCCCATCCAGGTTTGTTTTCTCTGCCATCTTTGTTTCTTTTGTGGTATTGTTGTGTGTGTGTGTGTGTGTGTGTGTGTGTTTATTTTTTTAAAAAGTTTCTAACAATTTATGAACTACTGGAAATTGGGCAGCATATACATTTAATAAATTATCATGATTATTATTATACCCATTCATTGATGAAGTCATATGACACATGCTAATTTGCTAACTTGCCCTCATTTTAATGGCAGTGATGGTGGTTGAGTTTTAGCTTCCCCAAATCCATATGCAACATGACTAGCTGATACAAGCCTGGTTTGGACATTAACAGTACACCAGTATTTATCAATTTCTGCAGTAATTTCAAGATTGCATAGCTTTCTTCTGATATTAATTAGGTTTGTTTTAAGTTTAGGTTTAGTTTTGGATCCTACCCCTAAAAATAGTTTTCATTATGGTTACTCAATTAGGCGCAGTCAAAACATAATTGTAGCTACTTGGTTCCTTTCAACTAGTCATAGCTGAAGATTTTCCTCTTTTGCTTAAATTACAACTACATTAAAGGAAGAGTGACCATACATGATGTAGGGAATTAGGCAAGTTTTTATAATGGTTACCATTGCTATATTTGAATGCAGCCATTTTTTGTCGTGTGAAATTATTATGGTGGTTTTGAGAATGGAAAGTTTAAACTGTGCTGTTTTCATAAATCGTTTTCTGGGTAACTTTCACTCCTTAATGCCATATTGAAGAATATATATAGCTCAGGCTTGAATTGTTGGGAGTTTTCTGAGCTTGCTTCTCTTCCTGCAGACATTTCAATTACCAAGCTAAGTAACATCATCAAAGCATCTGCAGAGAACACCAAAACCCCAACAATGTCATAATATTCCATAATATCTATTGTAGGAATACTCAAACCCCTAACCCCTATAGTATATCTAATTACGTCATATTAAAACAACAGAATCAACTGTATAAAGGTTTTCATTCTAACAGTGTTGCAATCTGTGATTATATTTCCCCCCCACCCATACGGGTTCCTTCTTAACCTCCCTGTAATGCATGACAAATGTTAGATTAGAGGGCTTAATTTATCCCTTGAAGGGAACTTGACTCTTGGAGCAAGTAGTCCAAAGATGCTAGGTGGCATAACATTCTAACGAATGCCCCTTTCTACCCTTGATAACAAGTATGCATTAATGTGTTTCAGTAATGTATCTCCAATGTGTAGAGTGTGAACAAGATTCATCCTTACCATATACCATAGATAATTCAGGCCATATGCTGTTTATGCTAATGTTATTTATTGATTTTTATTTTTTTTTTGGCAGAAGATTGCTAAAGTGAGAGCAGGCCCAAAATAGTTACAAGTGCTTAGAATTGTAGCAATAGTAGTAGTAATTTATTACAATCACTGATCAGAATTCTGCACATCAACAAAATAAACACTTTCTAGATAATTGAGGCAATCAAGGCATGTCACGTTTTACAAAAAGTGTAACAAAATTTTGCCATATTCAAGGAAATGGAATTATACTGGTCTGCAAGGAGAAACTGTACATAAAATAAATGAGAATTATGTGAGTACTCCAATGAATAGGAAGTTATAAAGTGGGCCCTTGTGTCTGTAAAGGCACAGTATAACAACATAGGCTGTGGATTCAATAGATCCTTCTCCACAGGGACACAATATCAGCTTAGAAGGAACTTTTTTATATTTGCCCTTGACAACAGCTTTGTGAAGATCCTATATGTTGGAATATTATGTGACAGTCTGTAGTAATATGTGATCACAATATCTGACTCTGCTTAAGTGTGTTTCTTTTCTATAATTGGGAAACTAACTTTCTTTGTTTATTTTTCTGTAGATTTTCAGTGGGTTCAGGGAGATGTTTGTGAAGTTCAGCTGATGGTGTATAATCCAATGCCTTTTGAACTTCGTGTAGAAAATATGGTATGTTTTAAATCCTATTTCATCATAAAGCCTAGTATGGTTTAGCTATGGGTATCATTGGAGTCAGTCATAAGTGATAGCTATGATTAAGGTGAAATGGGACAATTCACTTAAGGAATTGAAAGAGCTGAGGAATCTTCAGAAGGATTCTCAGTTTTCTCTGTGCTGTTGGTTGTTCACATATTTTTCCCTGAAATATATATATATATATTTAATAATAAATGGTGAACATATTTTATTAAAATGAATTAATCTTCAGTTGTGAAATACAAATCTACAAATGTACATCAAATCTAGGAATGCTGCATTTTGTCCAACTCCTCTGGGGCAACTACTATCTGTCCTGGGCAAAACTGAGCTGCTGAAATCTTCTGTGAGCTATCAGTCCATATATATTGATGATAGCATAAGTTGTGTGTGCATCTGGCTGGAAGTTGCCCCATCCTTGAGTTTGGAACTTTTAAAATAACATTTGTATGGAATTACTTTGTGGGATTTGTTTCAATAAACAGCTACTAGGGAGAGTGCCTGTGTTGATGGTTAAAAGAATGAATATTTAAGTAAATACCAACCAACTAGAAGAATTGTTTACATTCTATACATGTCCTAATTGTAATCTTCCCCTGTGATTATATTATGGTTTCTGGTGTTGCCAAATTCTACTTGTATTTTACATTTTCAATAGAAGAGAATATATGTAGCTCAGGGTTGAACTATGGAGTACTTGGTGCTCTCTGAGTTTGGCTGTTTGCTTGCAGATGTTTCATTATCCAACTAGGTCACATCATCAGTGCTAGTGAGTATGAGTGTGAATGTGGCGTTTTGCTCCCTGTTTCCGTACACTGGCTTACCCTGCCAGTGTTGGTGGGGGTGTGGCTTTCTCTTTGGTAGTTTCTTGATTAGGGTATTATTTTCTGCCTGATTGTTTGTCTGATGTTAATCCCTGCTTATCTGGGTGTTGGCTACTGGAGAGGATGTGTTTTGGTCTTTTTGTTTCCTTCTTAGCTTTTTTAATTGTCTCTTTTGAATGGTGTGTAAATGTGGTTTATGTGTCTATTGACGGCTGATTTGTCTGAATGCCAGGTTTCCAGAAATTCCCTAGCGTTTTTGGATTTAGCTTGGTCTAGATGCTCACAGTTTCCCAGTTGAAACTGGTTGAATCTGTCCATGTGTTGTGAGATTAAAGAGTTTTCATTGTGACTTCTGACTGCTAGTTGGTGTTCATGAATGTGCTCTGCTAGTCTTCTGTCTGTCTGTTCTACATAGTGGCTGTTATAGTCCTTACACTGTATGTTGTAGATGACTCCTGTTTTTTTCTTTTTGGGCTACTGGGTCTTTTGGTTTGGTTTGTGTGCTACGGTGATGTCATGTGGTTGTAATAGTCTGTTGGTTATTTCTGATATGTTTTTAATGTATGGCAGTATTATTTTTTTTGTAGCTTGTGTTGGTTGTGCTGTAGTGGGTTGAGTGGTCAGGTACCTTTTGATAAAGTTGCATGGGTATCCATTTTGTTGGAAGATGTTGTATAGGCGATCTGTTCCCTTTTTCTGGTGTTCTGGGTTGCTGCAGCACACTTGTACTCGTATGAATAATGCTCTTTCTCTTGATCAATTTGTCTGGTTTCTATATTGGGGTTGGTGTTTACTGGGATGTAAGTTTCTTTGCCCTCCAGCAATTCTTTGGCTTTTTGTATGTATTGTGTTCTGTCCATGATAACCATGGTTTGGCCTTTGTCTGCTGGGAGGATGGTGATGGTTTGGTCCTTCTTTAGGTTTTTGAGGGCTGCTCTGTCCTCATGCTGTGGTGAGGATGAGAAGCTCTCAGCAGCTGAAGGAAGGGATGC